ATATTTCAAAAGGTAAATTCTGCCAAGTTTAGAACAGAATATTTTTAATCTACTTATTGCCCTAAATTATGAACATAGCACAAATGGTTAGAAATTATGAACATAGCACAAATGGTTAGGAAAAATTAAGAAATAAATAAAGCTAACTAAAATAGTAATGAAGTATTATTCAAAAAAAATAATGACACAGCAAGGGTATGTATTTTATAGAAAAAAAAAATCAAGCTACATCAATAACTTCAGTAATGCTCTATGCCGACCACAGTATTTTGAGATCTGATCCATCATACATCCTGTTCCTCAATAAAAGCCTGAAAATGGTACTACTTTCCAAAACTAATATGCATAAGCATTCTGAAAGAAGAGCTGTCAGACTCAGAAATACAGTTGTATGCTTAAGGGAGGACAAAAACGACCTTCATCATTTCTGAATATGTGAACAACTTGAAAGGTCCCCTATATTTACTATATTTCTTCAATGTTTGCTAAACATAAAACATGCATTATATCCAACCCATGACTTCACAAGGATGATACCTTATATACATTACTGCTTTTCTGTTTTGTTGTAATGGCAAAGGATAATATAAGGAGAATACTGGCACTTTGACTTATTCAGTTAATTGAATACTACTTGATTTCAGCAACATATTTGTCTAAGGATCAGAGTTCTTAAACATTTTCATTTTTTCTTAAACAATGAGATATAGAACTTAGGACTTTTAAATGCTCAACATTCAAAACTTCTCTGAAAGCAAATACACAAACTTATTACTGTCAATCCTTTCCTACCTTCCATCTCTCGTATACCTTTTTCCCTTAACTTACAAAATAATGTCCTAAGAAAATATCAGTCCTAAAATTTTATCCAAAAGGAGAGGTATCTGTACATAAACAACTGAATCAAACTTACTGGGAGACTAGCTATAGTAAGGTAGAGAGGGAAGGGGGTACAGTGTATGTCCCACAGTATACACATACTGTGAGAGAATTTATTTAATTGAAGAGTTTTTCATCATTTTTTTCATCCATTGTCCTCAACTAAAACCTGTAGTTTTAGTAAACAGATGATTCATGTAGTGAGATGCTGAGCTCATGGGTCTACAAAATGTGTGCAATAGATGGGTATTTGGTATTAGTTTCCACAAGACTTTCAGGACTTACTCAGGGAATCAAACATACATAAAACAGCCAGATGTTGAAAAGTCCAGCAGATTTAGGTAGAAAAGGAAGTCTGGAGGGTATATTCAAGTACTACCAATGCTCTGGTCTGACTACAGGAAGCCACGCAGAGCAGCCAAGCTCACATGGTGATACCTTCCCATCACAGCGAGATCAAGCACCACTAGGAATAGCAGTTCTTTCCCACCAAGGTGTGTAAAATGGGCAGCACAGAATCGTGCACTCGAGGGAGACTTAGTATCAAGAAGCACCGCAGTCATACGGTAGATGTGCTCTGCTAACTCCATTCGTTTATATGCGGTAATCCAGTTTGAGATACTTTTGTTTTTCAAATTGCATTTACCCAGAGTAGCTCTGCGAAGCACAAGGTCTTAATTACAAGACCAAGACCCAACCAAGATCTCTGCAGGGTTCCCATTCTCTCCTGTTTGGCATATCCCAGCCACAGGATACAGTGACAGCACAGGATCGCTCCACGATACTGCTGAGACAATTTTATCACCGTTTCATTCCAGCTCTTCTGGAATTAACAAACTGCCTTATTTTGCAGCCGCCTTCCCAACGAGGCTCAGCAGAGGCAGCAGCCGAGAGCGGACACAGCGGGACGCTCCTTGCCCAGCCTCAGCCCGAGCCCGGGGGCGCCTGCCCGGGACCCGCGGCCGGCCCACAGGAGCGGAGCGGCCCCGCCGCCAGCCCGGCCCTCGTACCGTGCTGAGCTGCGACTGCAGGTCGATCTCCAGGCTCTGGATCGTGCGCCGCAGCTCCGTGATCTCCGTCTTGCCGCTCTGCAGCTGCTCCGTGTTGATGGCCACCTCCCGGTTCAGCTCTTCCGTCTGCAGCCAGGCAAAGCCGTGTCCTCAGAGCCCCGGCAGCCACCCCGGCCCCGCGCCCGCTGCTCGCCGCCGGCTCCTCACCTTGCTAAAGAACCACTGCTCGGCGTCCCTGCGGTTCTTCTCCGCCAGGCTCTCGTACTGCTCCCGCATCTCCGCCAGGATCTTGGTGAGGTCAATGCCAGGAGCAGCGTCCATCTCCACGCTGATCTCCCCACCCACCTGCCCGCGCAGGGCAGTCATTTCCTGACACAAAAAGAGAAAC